CAAGGCCACACAGCTAGAAGTGGAGGAGATGGGATCCGAACCCTAATGTAACTTGAAGGCTCTTTTCCACCTTCTTTTCTATACCCAGAAATGTGAGTCTGCTCTGTGCCATGAGAAGAGGGGGTTATTCACTATTCATTCACACATTCTTCCAGCTACATTTACTTATCACCTACCATGTGCCAAGTACACTACCTTACAGTACAGGGAGAGACAAGCCATGCACTCACTGCGAGACAAGCCATGCACTCACTGAGAGACAAGCCATGCACTCACTGCAGCACTGAGGGACCAGAAGGAGAGGTGCAAATCTAACTACTGGGGGAAATCAGAGAAGGAGAAATCGTTGTGAGATTCAATAAAGACTTCAGTCCACAGACTCTGAAAAAAATTAAATAAAAAAATAAAGGGAATGACTCCCTGAAACTAGATCACGTTTGCGATAATTCTAAAGCAGAGATGGCAATAATAATCATACTTAGCTGTGCCTTCAGTCCTTTGCCCATGGCAGACATTACTAATCAACCACAGCACTCTTTCCCACTAGGCTTGGAGGTAGCTTCATAATTCACAACCCAGTGTTCCTTGTGACCTCTATTGATCAGAACTGGCATTCAGAATAACATCTGTATTTCATCTCTAGCCTAAAGGGTAATGAATGTGAGCTAAGTATGGATAGGCTAGAAGGAAGGGAAGTGTGTGGGACAGGTAATAGGAAAGTGTGAGCCCAACCAAGAAGGCTTCACTCTTCTCAATACCCAAGTAGTTTTGTTTGTTTAAAAAATGTCAGATGTACTGGGCCAGAAGACTGCCATGGCAAGGGATCAGAGCCCTTACTGCTGGCCATCCCCAGAACCCGACTCTCTTTACTCCATGTGTGCATGTTTCCTGATCAAGCTCCTCGAGGGCAGGGGTCATTCTTGCTTCTGATGAGCTCAGTAAATCCCTTTTGGGTGTTTTTTTTTGGTTCTGGGGCCAACAGTTCAGGCTTGAAGAGCCAACTTCCCTCTGGCTCTTCTCTCCTTCCGGCTTGTTTGCAGGAAGCACCAACAGTATGACTGTAAGTGGTATATCCCCCTGGCCGACTTAGTGTTTCCATCCCCCGAGGAGTCCGAAGCCAGCCCCCAGGTGCACCCCTTCCCAGATCATGAGCTGGAGGACATGAAAACAAAGATATCTGCCCTCAAGAGTGAAATCCAGAAGGAGGTAAGTAGAGCCTGGCATCTAGTAGAGTGTGGGATCACTCTTACTGTGTCCTTTCGAACCCACTACAGTGCGGGGAGGTGGAGGGAGAGAAAGTTGTAAAGTTTGAGAGTTTGATAAGGGAGGCAGGATGCAAGGTGCTCAGATTTTTTTTTTTTTTTTTTTAAAGATGACTGGTAAGGGGATCATAACCCTTGACTTGGTGTTGTCAGCACCACACTCACCCAGTGAGCTAACCGGCCATCCCTATGTAGGGATCCGAACCCGTGGCCTTGGTGTTATCAGCACCGCACTCTCCCAAGTGAGCCATGGGCTGGCCCCAGGGTACTCAGATTTAAGTGGGGTTATTTTTGGAAAGTTTCCTGGAGAACAGTGTATGTTGAACATTGTAGAAAAAGGAAGCAAGAGAAGAAGAAAAGGAGGGCTTTCTTAGGAAAAAGTAGGGCATGTGCAAGAAAAAGGACCTGGAAGGTCTCTCAGAAACGGACAGATCAAGTAGGCAAATAAATAAGGAGAAAGGGGACCTGAATACCACAGTTAACATGCTTGATCTAAAAGTGCACAGAAGCTTGTTCCCTGACGGAGGACTAAGATTCTTGACACACACACACACACACACACACACACACACACACACACACACACACACACACA